TAATTGATAATATATTTACAAATAAAAAAGATGATGTATTGAGGAGTGGGGTATTGATGGCCGATATTAGTGATCATCTGCCTGTCTTTGCAGTACTGAAAAATAAACAATTGATAAAGCAAGAAACCTCGTTAAATTACAAACGACATAGATCATTTAGAGCATGGGAAGCGCTAAAGAAGGATCTTGAAATGCAGAATTGGGAGGAAGTATATGTAAGGGATGTCAACATTGCATATAAGTCCTTCATGAAAAAATGGATGAAATTATATAATAATAACTGTAAATTATTCAAAAGTAGTGGTAAAAGGGTAGATCAACCATGGATGACTAAAGGAATAAGAAATGCATGTGCAAAAAAAAAAACAGCTGTATAGGAATTTTTTAAAATCACAGACAAGAGTAACAGAAGACCGATATAAAAAATATAAAAATAAATTAATAGCAATAATTAGGAAAAGGGAAAAAGATTATTATGGCGAATTATTGGAAAAGGATAAGGCTAATACAAAGGCTACATGGGGAATAATAAATAGTGTGACGAACTGAAATAAAACTAGATCTAAGGTACCAAATTACTTTGTCAAGGACAATGTAGACATTTATGATGTAAAAGAAATCTCTAATGAATTCAATGATTTTTTTGTAAATGTAGGGAGGAGTTTGATGGGTCATGACACTTTAATTGAAGACAATTTGAATACAGTAGTAAATAATGTCAGTAGTATTTTCCTTGGCAAAGTCGAAAAAGAGGAAATACGAGAAATTGTAAAAAACTGTGGAAATAAGCGATCAACTGATTGTGAGGATTTGGACATGATGACTGTAAAGACCATAATAGAATCTGTTATTGATCCTTTGACTTATATTTGTAATTTGTCACTTTCTACTGGAGTCTTCCCGGATGCTATGAAAATAGCAAAAGTGGTTCCACTGTTTAAGAATGGTGATAAACATAATTTCACAAATTATAGGCCAGTGTCACTACTTCCACAGTTTTCCAAAATACTTGAAAAAGTCTTTGCATCACGGTTGGATAAATTTATTGAAAAAAATATGATCTTACATAATGAACAGTATGGATTCAGGACCCATCATTCAACAACAATGGCAATAATGGATTTAACAGAGAAAATATCTGAAGCGATAGACAATAGAGAATACTTTATTAGTGTTTTTATTGACTTAAAGAAAGCTTTTGACGTTATCGATCATTCAAGGTTACTGCAAAAATTATATCAGTATGGAATACGAGGGGTTGCTCATCAATGGGTCAGAAGTTATTTAGATAACAGAAAGCAATATGTTCAGATAAATGGCATTACATCAGAGCTACAAAATATTGCTTATGGAGTGCCACAAGGGTCGGTCCTTGGACCAAAATTGTTCAACCTGTATATCAATGATTTGGTAAATGTGTCTGACAAACTAGGTTCTGTTTTGTTTGCAGATGATACAACACTGTTTTATTCAGGGTCTGATATAAATGAAGTAACTCATGTGATAAATATTGAACTGATAAAAGTTAAAAACTGGTTTGATGTAAATAAATTAACACTTAATCTTAAAAAAAAACTAATTTCATTCTATTTAATGACAAAGAAAATATAGACGTAATATTAGAAATAGATAACATGGAAATTCAAAGGGTAAAAGAAATCAAATTTTTGGGAGTAATGATTGATGAAGCTCTAAGCTGGAAATCACATATAGGCTATATAAAAGGTAAAATGGCCAAAGCCATTGCAGTATTATATAGCGTAAAGTTTCTACTTAATAGTGAAGGATTGTTATTACTATACAATGCACTGATTCTGCCATACTTAAATTATTGTGTAGAAATCTGGGGAACTGCATATAGAACGTATACACAACCTTTGTTTGTTTTGCAGAAAAGAGCAATGAGAATTATAGACAACACTCAAAGTACAGCTCCATCTAACCCATTATTTATAAAATATAAAGTAATCAAATTTCATGATTTGGTCAACTGGAGAATATTGCATATAATGTATAAAGCAAATAAAGGTACATTGCCAAAGAATATTCAGCATATATTTGAAAAGAGAGATAGCAGTTATTCATTGAAGGGATTTGAAATCTTCAAAAAACCTAGATTTAGAACAAGAATGAAGGAAATGAGCATATCTGTGAATGGTGTGAAGTTGTGGAATTGCCTGGACAGAGAATGGAAAGAGTCAAGAACTCTAAAAGTGTTCAGTCTACACATTAAATCACGTGTGTTGAGTGGATATGACAACGGACAATTGATGTGGACATAATAATTAACAAATGTGAACAGTTACGGGACTGAAAGAACTGGTGAGGGACTGCACAAATATAAATTGATATTTAAGTTTAAAAAGGGGGCAGAAATAATACGATTTTTCTTCTATCTGCTCCCTTTCATTCAAATATACATTGTGTTTTTATGAATATTGTTTAGTATCTGTTGTGTTATTTTTTATTGAATGAAATAAAGATAATTAAAAATAATAATAATAATAATATACAACCGTTGCATCATAGTTATTATGAATTATATGAAAAAGTGCAAAAAGTCATTTTACAAGCTTAAATGGTTGCTTGAACCGTTGAGAATGCTTCATTACTCGGCTTTTCAGCTGTTTTATTTGACCTTTATTTAATAATATTATTCTATTTATCACATGATATGAGCAGATTCATGATGGTGAACTAATTTAAACAGAAATAATGTCTCTTTCAGCTGTTAGGAGATAAAGATGTATAGAAGTGTGAAATAAAAATAGCAAAAGTAATCTCAGTATATAAAAGTGTAGACAAACACAGTTCTCCAATTATAGACCGATATCAATTCTCCCTCAGTTTTAAACAAAAGTAGAAAAACAGTTTTTGAAACAACTGGATATCTTGATGGATAAACATTCATTATTAACCGACTTCCAGCTCGTGTTTAGATCTAAAAGATCAACCTCGCTGGCCGTAATGCAACTAGTGGAAGACATGGCAAATGCGACTGATAAAAAGAGAATACACTGGGGGAGTGTTTATCGACTTTAAAAAGCATTTGATACCATAAATCATAAATTATTTGTTAAGTCAATACAGCACAGTTTGATTACACTTTATTTTACTAAAGTTTTCTCTGAGTCTTCATAAATGCACATCCATGACTGAAGTTACAAAGTTCAAACTGTGTTTTTCTATTTAGGGTTAGGGTGCTTAATGATGGCTAAGATGGAGATGCTGTGATGCTGATGTTGTGCTCATAGACTAATATCAAAAGCTGAATAACTAAGAAATAGTTCAGTAAAAAATAATTTTGTTGTTAGCTACATGGAGTAACAACATGGGGTGGCATTAAATACGTTTGGGCTTCTCCTGCCCCTTTTTTGAACAGGTGCAAAGTTTTGTTTTCAATTGAAAAATATGTTTTGATTTTAATAACAAACTTTTTTTCTTTTTCTCTCTTATTTGATTTTATTTGTCTGTTTCTATGTTGTACTCAACACTTTTCTAATTGCTTTTTATTGCACTAACCCAAAATACACGGCCTTATATTGAGAAGGTCTAAGTAAATGTAAACCTAACACGGCTACAAAGGAAAATAGAATTCATGCAGCACACTGATGGATGACAGCAGACTAAAAATGTACCTGACTTTGCACGAGCAGCAACTATGCTAAGATCTGTTATGTGTCCCTCAACACATGTTGTGCAGATGGAGAAGCTTGCTTAAAGAGCAAGTCACCCCCTATCAGAGTCCTACCGGGCCTGTCCAACAGAAGCAAATGCTTCACATAATCTCTGTCAGATGTAGTATGCAACAATTAGTCACCGTTATAGAGGAAGAGTGTTAATTTCCACCGGCTGCAAACGTGCTGGAGTCAAACATGGTCTTGAAACGCTCCCAGTGGTAAAGGAGCTTGCGAATAAGACAGATCTATTATAATGAACACTACACATCTAGAGGAACGCCAGGGTCGCTCCACCCACATTTCAGGTTTGAGAAACTCATCAGAAGGAGGTTTTGCCTGACGGACAGAGAGGGCGGCACTGCGGCGGTGACACGAACTGCACCGAGACCACCACCTTTAACTCGCTGTGGAAGCGTGGCCAGACTTGGGTGCCTGTTCACCACAACGGCAGAGCAGCACGTGTGTCAGGAAATGGATAACGTCACATATCACCGCTTAGCAAACAGCATTGGCTGATTCAAACGGACTGCAGACTTTTAATCTGAAGAGAGCGCCACACGGATGGTTTTAGGCAGAACATTTATATTTTTAAAAAGATGCACTAAAATAATGACTACACATGTCTACAGCCCCATTAGACACGCATTTATACAGTTCATCAGCAAAAAACGTTAATTTGGTGGAAATTGCTGTTTAAAAGCTTCCCGCCAACACTTTAATATGCTTTAGAAACAAACTGCTATATATTATAAGCTGTCTCACATTTCTTTACACTTTGATTCATTAAAATAAAATTTAGAAGGATTCCAGACTGTTACGCAAAATCTTCCCTTTAAGATTTCCAGTGACATGAGAGCGAGGCCCTGTGACCCACACCAGCAGACTAAGAACACTCGTGAATGTTTAGAAGCATTTTGGAAACTCCCACACTAACGCAGTTGGCAGCATATCGCCCCGAGTGAGATGCTGGCTTCAGCTGAGCGATAACCTGGAGGGTTTTTCTACTGCGGTGCTGCAGCGCTGACAGATAAACGTCACCATCACACTAAAGGGGCTGCAGACGTTCAAGTGAAAGGTTACTTCTCCCTCACACTTATCCAGCGGTGCACAGTTAAGGAATTCCTCCACTTGGTGCAGCTGCTTTTCAAACTGATGGTGTGTATACCAGAGTGTGTGACACAAGAAGGAGAAGGATGGGGTGTGAAGACTTTGATAAAACTCCTTGCATTAGCGGCAAAAGCAGCAGTTAGTAGAAGTAAACAATCAGCTGCTAACACCGTCTCGGAGCAGAGGCAACACTGATAGCAGAAACTCTCTCACCGGTGAGTTTTTGGACCAAAGGGCTGAGCTCTGTCTCCTGCGTGATGACCAGGGTCAGCGTTCCCATTAGCTCTTGCTCCAGCTTCTCCAGCTCCTCCTCCTCCTCAGCATCTCCGTGATGAGCCTCATCAGCAAGAGAGTAGAGATAGGTCAACAGGAGGATCAGCTCATCCGGCCCACACTCGTCCTCCCCGAGCCTCGACCTGGATGACAAGCTGTCCTCGCCTCCGCGGGGCTTCATCAGGGGCAGCAGCTGCCTCAGCACAGCGGGGAAGTCAGAGTCCCCGAGAGCCTGTGACACGACAAACAAACAAAAACACATGATAAACAAGCCTGCGAGTACCATCACTCTTTCACCTAGAACAAAAGACATCAGGTTTCTGCTGCTGGAAACTTCTGATGGAGCTTTTATTATGAAGAATCAGGAGACATTTTTATTCTTGACAGCTTTAAGGTCATTTTATTGCAGGTGATGCTGAATAGCTCCAGCCTGCCAAATGCTGTGCTGTCAAGAGGTTTTGAATGCCTTTTAGCAAATCCAGACACTGCTGCCACACAAAGCTCACCATGCTTTCTGGGAAGAAGAGCTTCTTAGTTCAGGTACAAACTGAAACCTGAACACACTTTCTCTTCACAGCGTTCTCCAGCGCTTGTCGTCGTCTCACAGACATCGAATACTCATTATGTTTAAGTGTTCCAGTAGACCAAAACCCATACAGTACTCAGCATTAATGAGTACACCTCCTTTTAAAGTATGAATTGAGCATTGAGCATACTTGTCACCTCGAGAGAGAAAATGTCTGTAATCTGGATGTATTTTAAGACGGACAGCAAAGGCAGTGTAATGTGTGCAAACTGGGCATTAAATGAGGTGGAAAAAGGTACAGTTGTGGTCAGAAGTTTACATACACTTGTAAAAAATATAATATAATGGCTCTTCTGCGTGTCCCGTTATTTCTAAAACTCTGATTTTTCTCTGATAGAGTGATTGGAACAGATACTTCTTTGTCACAAAAAACATTCATGAAGTTTGGATCTTTAATGTCTTTATTATGGGTTAACAGAGAAAAGTGATCACATTTGCTGGGTCACAAATTTACATACAGCAACATGAACTAGCAATTTTGGTGACTTAGAAACGTGTCAGTGAACTGAGCTTCATAGCATGGCCTCTTAACTTCTTGTGAGTGATTATGAGTGACTACAGCTGGTGACTTCTCTTAGGCCAGGTAAATAAAGCTCATTGGATACAAACGCCCACAAACGCTACAATGGGAAAGTCAAAGGAGCTCAGCATGGATCTGAAAAAGCAAATTATTGACTTGAACAAGTCAGGAAAGTCACTTGGGGCCATTTCAAAGCAGCTGCAGGTCCCAAGAGCAACAGTGAAAACAATTGTTTGTAAGTATAAGGTGCATGGCACTGTTTCATCACTGCCAAGATCAGGAAGAAAACACAAGCTATCACCTGCTGCTGAGAGAAAATTGGTCAGGAGGGTAAAGAGTGAACAAGAATCACCAAAAAGCAGATCTGCCAAGAATTAGAAGCTGCTGGAACACAGGTGTCATTGTCCACAGTCAAACGTGTTTTGCATCTCCATGGACTGAGAGGCTGCCGTGCAAGAAGGAAGCCCTTGCTCCAAAAGCGGCACCTTAAGGCTCGACTGAAGTTTGCTGCTGATCACATGGACAAAGATAAGACCTTCTGGAGGAAAGTTCTGTGGTCAGACGAAACAAAAATCGAGCTTTTTGGCCACAATGCCCAGCAATATGTTTGGAGGAGAAAAGGTGAGGCCTTTAACCCCAAGAACACCATGCCTACAGTCAAGCATGGTGGTGGGAATATTATGCTGTGGGGCTGTTTTGCTGCCAATGGAACTGGTGCTTTACAGAGAGTAAATGGGATAATGAAGAAGGAGGATTACCTTCACATTCTTCAACATAACCTAAAATCATCAGTACGAAGGTTGGGTCTTGGGCGCAGTTGGGTGTTCCAACAGGACAATGACCCCAAACACACATCAAAAGAGGTAAAGGAATGGCTAAATCAGGCTAGAATAAGGGTTTTAGAATGGCCTTCCCAAAGTCCTGACTTAAACCCCATTGAAAACATTTGGACAGTGCTGAAGAAACAAGTCCATGTCAGAAAGCCATCAAATTTAACTGAACTTCACCAATTCTGTCAAGAGGAGTGGTCAAAGATTCAACCAGAAGCTTGTGGATGGCTACCAAAAGCGCCTGATTGAAGTGAAAATGGCTAAGGGACATGTAACCAAATATTAGCACTGCTGTATGTATATTTGTGACCCAGCAAATGTGATCACTTTTCTCTGTTAACCCATAATAAAGACATTAAAGATCCAAACGTCGTGAATGTTTTTTGTGACAAAGAAGTATCTGTTCCAATCACTCTATCAGAGAAAAATCAGAGTTTTAGAAATAACGGGACACTCAGTAGAGCCATTATATTATATTTTTTACAAGTGTATGTAAACTTCTGACCACAACTGTAGGTGCATTCAACACTACAGATCTGATGCGCCAATTAAAAAAATAACTAACCCTGCTCAGTTTGCTGCAAACATTTGATAAGCCAGCCAACAGGAATAAAAGGTGTGTTAAGAATAAAGAAATAATCTACCGACAGCGAAACTGCCAAGATAGCACATTTATCACACTGGATGATTGTCTGTTAAATCTGGTTAGAGACAGAGGAGTACTGTAAATTAGAAAAATCTTCAGTATGAGCCAAATTTTGTGATAGGAACAAATTCACTCACATAACGTGCATATTATGACGTCATCCGGTGGCAGCCATATTGGATTGCATCACATTTGCAGATTTTATGTTTTTGTCTTATTTTCTTAGTGTTATTGTTTATGATACATATATACATATTCCTATGTATATTTATATATATATATATATATATATATATAATATTTATAACTTTATTGGTATTTTGTTATGTTTACTGCGTATCAATCAAGAACACTGTTTTTGGAGCTTCAGTGTCATGAACACATTTCACTCATCCCTTCTTTGGTTTATTTTGTTTATAATTGTTATATATATATACATATATATATATATATATATATATATATATATATATATATACTGTATATATATATATTTATATATATATATATATATATAGTATATATATATACAGTATGTATATATATATACTATATATATATATATATATATATATACTGTATATATATATATTTATATATATATATATATATAGTATATATATATACAGTATGTATATATATATATATATATATATATATATATATATATATATAAAATCCTCAATCTAGGCTTTTCCACAAGCCCCATGCAGAACTGAATGGCAATGCATGTTTTCATTTCTGGGACAGTTACATCGTACCAGTCATTATATCTGGAGCTAGAGTTCAGTTCCTCCCTCTCTAAATACTGGTGAGCATATCGGTTAGTGTCAGTTGTGATGAGGGTCCAGAATTCCTCGTTGGTGTTTCCGGACTCTGCCCTGAATCGGCTGCAGGTTGTTCAGAATGCTGCTGCCAGGTTCTTGACGGGTACACACCGACGTAGCCACATTACACCTGTCCTGGCACATCTTCACTGGCTCCCTGTCATTTTCAGAGTGCAGTTTAAGTTACTGACTTTTGTTTTTAAAGCGCTCAGTGACCTGGCACCTTCCTACCTCTCTGCCCTTCTCACTCCATATGTGCCCACCCGCTCGTTGAGGTCGGCTGACCTATTGCTGCTGCACACGCCGCGGATGAGGCTCAAATCGCGGGGTGAACGAGCATTTGTCCATGCTGCCCCAAAGCTATGGAACTCATTGCCCATTGGAGTTCGGCAGGCTCCATCTCTGGCGGTTTTTAAATCTCGTTTAAAGACCCACTTTTACACTTTGGCTTTTAGACAGTGACTCGTTTTAGTGTTTTATTGTGTCATTGTTTTAATGTGTTCTTATTATTCATGTTTTCTCTGCTTTTAATTGAGATTTTATCCTTAGTTTTAGCTCCTTGTAATGGGTGTGTTTTGTTTTAGCCTGTGCAGCACTTTGGGCAGCTCCCATGCTGCATTTTAAATGTGCTATATAAATAAACTATGCTATGCTATGCTATGCTATGCTAAATAAACTGACAGAAAATCAATGTGTTCTGAATTTGACAGATCCCTGTCTCCACAGTATCCAGCTGGCTCATCAAAATGCCTGATCCACTTGGAATACTGTTCCTCTTCTCCCAAACTAACCCAGCCACCATTATTACTATTGTCACTGAGGCTGTGTTGGGCCACCCCCTGCTAGCAGTGGTTTTTTTCCCGCGGTTCCTCCCCCTCCGGCTCCAATTCCAGCGGATTACACCCCCGGGGCTGAATCAATCACCAGCAGAGTACCCCCCCCCCCCCCCCCCCCCCCCCCCGGCACGTCTCTTTCCCCGACCACGGACACGGTGACGCGGAACATCGGACAAGGTAAGGGCTGGATGGGCTGCTTGTGTAACCGCGTCGTCAGACTCCCTGTTGCTGCGCGCTGAAGCCACTCTTTCAGTCTCGCTAGAAGACCACAGATCATCCTCGGGAAGAAAATATTCTTCCTCCGAATCGGCCAGTACTACACGAAGAGCTTCGTCAGCACTGAACATTCCTCTAGGCATTGTGTTTTTTCCCTCTACCACTCGCTCGCTCTCACTCGCTCTGACAACCGCCGCGGCTCTGCGACTGGTGAGCGGGGTTCAAGCTCTAAATACTCCAAAAGTTTTAATAGTAACACATCCACAAATGCTGCTTGGATTGAAGTTACAGGTGTCTGCCACCCCGCCGTGTAGCGTATTAACTGCATGAGGGCTCATTTCTGCTGCTGTGGCTTATTAAATCCAACATTGCTGCTTGTCGCAATTCTGCGACTTTGGCGCTTAAAGGGTTAAAAAACAGTAAACACAGCAGCGAAGGGCTTTACTGATCAGGAAATGGCTGGCAGTGAATGAGTTAATGTACTTTCTAAATGAATGAATGAAATGAACTGATTTTAAAGACCCCACAGGTCTTCTGCAGCCAGAGCAAATAACCCCGGCTACTACATGTCTGCTGTATCGTCCCTTGTCAGGAGTCTGTGAGTCTGCACACCTCGGCATTTTAATCAGATGACTTCATCAGCTGAGCACAGATTCATCAAATAATAAAGATGAGCAGTAGCAGCCAAGGCCCTTCACAAGATAACTGTTTTAGATAAATCTTTATTCCCAGAAGAAAGAAGATTTCATAATCAAAGTTTTCATTTAATAA